GAACAGTATATTATACGAATATAGAAAAAGAAAACAACTAGCAGTCTTGTACTCTTCTACAAAAAATTCAGAAACAATTTTGCAACCAATCTAGTTTTTTCTTTGAAAAGATGGAGTCTATTTCTGTTGTTCATTAGAACCGCCATTAAATGAGCTTCAAATGTGCAGCATTGCTTTTTATTGCGCGTCGAACCATATATAATTTGTGGTTTGATGAAATGTAACGGCACAAAACGTGAGTCCTGATGAATGAAATTGAGAATACCGGCAGAATTTCGAGTTTTACGCTCGTGATCTGGAAAATATGCATTTTTTCAACTATAAAGCAAGCGGGAGAAGAAGCAATACTGTACGTTTAAAGCTCATTTAAAATGACATGAACCACGTTTTGTTCGTTCTGCCTTACGTTTCCGAGAGAGCGGGCGGTCATTCGCGAAACCCTATTCTCCTCTCCATAGTGACTATACCGTCCAAACAAGTTTTTCTTCGTTGTTGGTCTTCGTTTCTGGTTCGAATCATTGATTCGTTACGACAGTATGCAGGAGGAGTTGAAGCTGAATCATGACTTAATTCAATAATTAGTACCTTTTCCAAACCGCAGTTATGGTCCGATGAAAGACTTGACTACATTTCAGTAGCTTTACAAGAAAATGCTTTATTTATGTATCAAGAAGTAGAAGACGATATTACATCTTTTGGGAAATTTAGAAAATTATTTTGTCAAAAAGTTGTTTCATTTATTCAACCGGTTAATCCTACATGATTGTTACCACAATCTGATCATCGTGAATTTCCACCACAAGCTAAAAGCTTTCTGCTCAAAAAAGTCATCTGGATTAGTTTTGTTAAAGATCAAAAATCATTTACAGGAAAATCACAAAATATAGTAGTATAAATAAAAGATCTTGAATTACAGTTTAAAAGAATTAGTTGGCCAAATGATCAAAAAGTAGCTATTATTTCACAACTATTGAAGGGTGATGCCTTACACAATGGTTTGAAAACGTTCAGATAATATTACAATGTGGAAGGATTTTAAATCGACCATAATAAATAAATATACGTCTCGATTCGTTCAATCGTTAGCTTATCAAAAATTAAAGACTAGCTAGCATCAAACAGTAAATCAATCAGTTGAACACTGCTATTTCGACAGCATGGAATTGTGTGATTAAATTGATCCGAATATGAGCGATAACACAAAATTAACGTTGTTTACTCCTACTTTAAGAGTACACCCCCCTCTTTTTTAATCCTCTTGGAAACTAGGGAAGCTGATGTTGGATCGGGTTCTAATTTATACCTGAGATAGAACATCAAAAAAGAAAATCGATATATTTTTGCCCAGAATTTTCTGACGTGTTCTTCTATGGGTTTTCTGGAAACTTCAGTTTTCATTGGCATACATTACGACCCCTCGAAGAAATGGTCTGATCGAGTTCGAAAGTTTACTACAGGTACTTCAGACCCTATCTCAGGTTCGTTTTTTTCATAACTAAAACTGCATAATTTTTTCAAGGAAGGTCATGGAGAGCTGGGAGTGATCTCATTTTATGGCCCAGACTTTCCTCTACATTAGATTATGTTGAGCTCAAAATGACAACTTTTCTGCAAAAAAGAGAGGGGCGGTGTACCCTTACGATCAAGTTTAAGAAAGACATTCGTCGAACACGAGCGGAACGGTAATGTCGCAGTTCGACAGAAACACTTTTCGACAGCATGTTTCGACACTGTCGAATTTCGAGCGAAAAATCCGACAGTGTCGAAAGCTGTCTGTCGAAAAGCAGAACTGTCGAAAAGCAGAACTGTCGAACTGCAACAAATTCAGCGAAATTCGATCCATCTCTTAAGGTGTATCTTGCAGACTGACCTACGGAAGTGTATACTCATGTGGAACCAGCAGCATGAGACTGTTCACTATACGATAAAAGTCGACTAAACAAAAATAGCCTGAACTCCGAGATCAGGGAGCCGAGAGGTTAAGACTATTAATATTTTGATCGAAGTTTCTAGTGGTTATCCTGGCTGCTAAGCCCTGGACAGCATTCAGCACTTCAAGGTGACTTTTGAATTCAGAATCATAAACTGCACAGCACGAATCTAACTGCGATCTAGACGCTCCGCTAACCTACTTCATTGTAATAAGCCTGAAACAGCTGAGCATTACTTTTTAAAATACCTTCGTTTTCGTCCAAGAAAGATCTATCTTGTTGAATAATATAAAATCAATTACCGCATTACCACAAACTACTGAACTCACTCTGAAGGTCAATTAATCCTACCGTAGAACAAAACATCCTTATCGTAAATAATGTCCATAAATACATAGTTGACACTAAAAGATTCACTTAGCACTCTTTACTTCTTGTGTTACTCTATTTTATTATGGAATAAATGTGTTTTGATCCCCAAAAAAGTGACTGTTGATCCCCAAATTTATTAACAGTGAAATGATCCCCAAAAAATAAGACTTTTAATCCCCAAATCAATTAAAGATATTTAAATTAAAGAAAATATATACAAGAAGAATATATAGCAATTTAATAGAAAAAATTGATTGCTAATTAATTAGTGGACAGACAAGGAAAAGAATATAAAGAGAATATATACAAGAAGTGAACATAAATATGAACAGAATATGAAAGAAATATGAAATATGTCAACAGTTGACGGTTTTCGAAATTGTATTGACAACGATTAAGTTTTTGAAAATTTCATTGATTTTGTCAACTCACAAGAGCTATAAATACCTGCCCTATACTATCGACGATACCATTACAAAAATGTCGAGGCAAGAATAGAAAGTATTACAAACAACTACATCATTCGATGAAGCAAAAGAATGCGCAAAACAGTTTAATGTTTGCCAACGTCGTCGATCAGATTTAAAAAATCATACAAAATATTCGTTCAAATGCAGTGGGGATAGAAAGTATCCGTTTTGTTCTTCTGAAATTCAGATAAACGTGCCGGATAGTAATCCGCAATCAGTGACGATCATGTCCAGAAATGAACATGAACACGAATAGGAAGAACGCAATCCTACAACACGTTTACCATCACCCATTCGGAAATCGGTGTGAAAATATGCTAAATATGGATTATCACATACACAAATTAAGTCATCATTAGTTCAAGATCATCCAAATGCTCCCATCACGGAAACGAAGTTCGAGTTCCGTGTTGGAACTCGAGGTCAGTTCCAACTTTAAAATTTTGGTATTCAGTGTTGTATACTCAATTTTCGATGGAGAATCAGGAAAAAATAGTTTGGAAATTTTAGAAAAACAATAAATATGAAACATTTTTCAGTTTTCTGGTTATTTTCGAAAAATGGGTATTTTTAAATCTTTTCATCAAAAAATGACTTCTTAACACTAGAACGCCCGTAGCGGTCATGTTGACCGTTTTGTGATTTTTATCCTTAATAAAACAAACTGCATACAATTTATTTAAAAATAAATTATATCATAACTTTTAATTTGTCGCACAAAAATTACTTTTTTCCGAATTTTTAATTCATTTTTGAATTCAGAACCATTTTTAAGTACAAAATTTTAAAAAAAAACAGTAACGGTCAAAATGACCGCTTTGGGCGTTCTAGGTCATGAAAATTTTCTTGCTGAAAAAAATCTTGCTGTAATTTTGAATTACCGTCACCTTACAATTCTAGAACCCTAGACACCTTAAAGCCTATAATCTTATTTAGCGTTGGTACAGATGGTATGTGTATGACAAGACAGTAACAGAAACAAGTAGTTAAGGATGTATGTGAATGTAATGATTATACGGGAGCAAATTGAATTACTTTTTCAATGAATACAAATATTTTCGAATTTTGAGTCGGTAAATCCATAATCATTCGCCATAATGTCGGTAAAGTGCAAATAAAGATGTACGAAATTTCCGCGAGTTTCTGGCCGGGAAATGTGGACACATACCAAATCTTACGGAGGTCCTTAACCGTCTTTTTCTACGCCCTGATCCTCTTGTCCATCAAGTAATTCGAGAACCATATTCAAAGCGAATCACAGAGGATAAAACCATCAGTACTTGTGCTAACGAATATGATAGTTCGTTACAAAGTGTATTACAATTCAGACCACCATGATCCATTGTCGACTATAGTCAATGAAAATTCTGCGCTCGCGATCTGATTATTTTTTCGATTTTTAAATTGTGTGTTGAATATTTTTAGAAGTCGACAACTATAATGAGCACATCAGATAACCTATAAAAACTATATTTCATCATTTTTTACTGGAATTTTCTAGAGACACCAGGTTTTCCAGAAAACCTAGACGAAATACTTAAATAAATATAAAATAAAATTTCAATTAACTTTTTTGAACGATGCCATTGGAACGAACGACCTTTAAAAGCTACAGAAACTATATTTTCAAAATTTCTGAATACTTTTTTAGCCTGTCACAGCACATGTCCGAATCACAAGCCAAAATTGCACACTGTGCCCTTCACCCCCTCTGATATTTGAATATGTTGCACAGGTCGATGGATTGGACACCACAATAACTTCCTTTTATGGGATGACAAACATAAAAAGGCTATCAAAATTGAGTTGCAAAATTCTTTTTCCATGAAAGTATCACAATAAATCATTGACTATCAAACAATGCAATAGCGACATTTCTACGATTAGTTTTAACCGAGCTACAAGCTTTACAAAGTGGGAACTAGCTATAATTCTAGTCAAAATTTAAACGTAATTAATTAATAACGTTGGGAATACTTACTAGTTCTCCGAAAGAACTTACGAATGTATGTTGTCAAGTGTGCTCTTTGAACTGACAAAATTTGACTGCACATATAGAAGGAGTGGATCCAGTTTAAACTACGGGCTCATAGAAAGTATTGGAGATGTCTACCTTTTCTGAGCCAGAGTAAAAGGTGTTTATTAATGAATATTAGCTTAATCAAGCAGAATTAAAAAAGAGAAAAGGATGTTCATCATTACCATCAACACAATTTCTCTACCATTCTTATTTTCTGTCGAAAATAACAATACATTTTCCTCCGCATTGCATCAGACCATGTATTTTTGTATCATCTGTATGATACAAATAGGCATCCGGTGCTCCAGAACGTATTGCTTTAATTCTTGTACTAAACAGATAGACAATCAGAGAATGATTTCAGCGACCAACAAGGCAGTGGGCTTTTAATTATCTGTAGGACATATTGCACTTATCGACACAAAAGATGCATTTGATTCATTAGCTTTCTTACTCTCAGCATAAAGCCAATTGCCAGATTTGGATCTCAATGGAGGGATAAAAGCAAGCTTTTTCCTTCCTAAACAAAAATTTTATACTTCCCACCGATGTTTGCTACTACTCTTAGTGTTGTTTGTACGCTCAGTATGTCTATGTTCGCTAGTTTACGTAAGTGACCAATTTCATCGCCCAATGACAAATATCTAGTTTAGCTTTCAACAGAGTTTTCTTTCCAATATGTCCTATGAGCTCTATTTCTCTTTCTTAACAACATCCCCAGCAAAAACGACCCAATTTTTTGGGTTATTTATCTAGATTCAGCTCCATGTACATCTAGATGTACGTGGAGATGAATCTAGATAAATAACCCAAAAAATTGGGTCGTTTTTGCTTGGGATTCTCAACTTATCTGAAAACCAAGCTTTATATCAAGTCCGAATTTTTATTATTTTATGAAGTATGATTCTATTAGTTGCTGTTATTGTCAAATTTTCTAATTCTTCTACTTGTTCATTTACATCATACTTAGAATTATGAATGTACTAGACCTTAATGTGAAAAAAAACAAGCGAAAACCATCCCAATCAACAACACATTTATAGTTGTATATTTTTCTGAATGATAATTTTTTTGAATGATGGTTTTTTAAGAATATTACAATTTAGTGAAATCTAATTATATCACGGTCACAGTTTTCGCACAACAAATCGTCCACAAAGGTTGTGCTAACTAACTGGATACCATCAGTAAATATAAGATATAAACAAGTGTCTAGTTTGGAATGTTTATTAGGACGTCTAGTTAGTGCTTCCACAAGTTGACGAAAATCTTCATTTCTTATTAGTAAATAAATATAATTCATGTCTTTGGTGTGTAGTGGATTTTGTAGCACATCACCTATTACCATGTCCATTAGAGCCGCCCTGTGGGGTTCCTTCTGAAAAACGTGTTTTATGATCATACGCTTGTCCTATGACGCAGTTTTGCATTACGCACAACATAGTGTCACAAATGTATCCTAGTATTTTTAACAGACACATTTTACGCTAATGAAATGATGACATGATCTAAGCAGCAAATTAGCACAAACTATACAAAGCGAGAATATTACAGAAAGTTGTGTAATTATATGTTTATTGTATCGCTATTAATGTCACATCACTGCGATCATCTTTTATATTATTTGATTTTGATGAGAAATAACGCTGTTCTAACTTTTGTAAAACGGCTTCAAATATTCGCTGTATTAGTGGAATTAATCTCTTGGGACAATTAATTGATACATAAATTCGAACTGTTGCACGATGTTGATAGAATTTTGATGCATCTTGCAAACCTAGCAGACGTACATCATCCAGCAGGTATTGAACAATATTGCGTCTATAACATTCTTCTGCAAATTCTTGTACAATAAATCGTTGGATGTTTTGAATAACATCACTCTGTGAATCTTTCATTGATGAATTCATCATCTGGTTTTGTATATCATATTGATAAACATATTTAACAGAGACATCGATTGTTTGACAGTCGTCACTATTATCTGTTTGAGAGGATGATTTGCTCACATCATCTAAACTATGTAAGAATTCCAATACTGCACTAACTGATTCAATGTCAATTTCTTCCTCCGCTTGTTCATCGTCACATTCGCTACTACTCCCGACAAATGTTTCGTCCATTTCATTAATATCGCTTATTGTTGCTTTTCCATGAAAAGAATCAGGAAGAACTGATTGTAATTTCGTAACACTTTCTGTTTTGTGTGTCACATCCGATAAGGGAGCGGCTTTTTGACTTCCTTTACTCGACGATGATGAAATCCCTTTCTGTGAAGCTCTAGATGTCTTTTGCTTATTAGCTTTAATAGAGGATGACAGAACTTGTTCCTGTGCCAAAGGCTTTTCGGATTGAGATGAAGTTGTTGTCTTCAAATGGTTTCTGGATTGCTTCCCACCAGAAACTGTTTTATCCGATCTTGTCGTTGTAAACAAATGCAATGACTTAATTGTTCCAGTCACTGCAGTCGTTGGCGCTTTCGTACTAATCGTACCCGACTTAGCATCTACCCCTCCTTTAGCCTGCACAACTGTAGAACTGACCGCTTTGCTACCACTCAACACCCCATTAGCCCCGTTACCTCTCACTTCCGCTAACACCATTCTTTGCGTCGTGGTATCCCCTAAAAACAAAACCCAACAACTAGGAAAAGTCAGCAGACGCACCCTCCATCATTTTGCACCCACTGATCTGAATTTTCTCCCACGTAAAATCTCCTTACCCATACATCTACAACAGCAGCATACTTCTTGGCAAAGCACTCATACATACGACACCGACAAACTCACGAGCTCAAAAGATACAATCGAAACCAGCACCTTTCACTCCAAACATTCCCACCAAATTACACACAAACAAAAATACTCATACCTGCCCGCGTCCCAGTCTGTTTCTTTCCAATACCAGAAGATGTAGCAACCAAAGCCGCTGTTGTTCGAGCAACAGCCGATGTAGTGGCAGCCTTACGGGTCCTCGGCGACAACGTCGACACTGGAGCCTCTAGAATAACAAAGAAAAATATTAACTTCGTTATCTTTATTCTAGTAAACAAACATCAATAAAACAATTATGTGACAAACTGATGTACACACTTGAATTGTGGAAAGGAAAAAAGAGATTATCTATTAAATACCTTGTTGGAAAGATCTTTCGACATTTGTCTCACGCTCATTTCCTTCCAACGACACTAGCATACCTTCATGCGACAAAACTATCTCAGCATTTTTAACATACGAAAAGCAACTGGTCTACTTATTTTTCGAAATTCAGCATATTTTTTGCCAATGCTTTCATTCATATTATATTGACAAAGTGATATCTGTTCAAAAGACATAAGTTAAATGCAGATTTTTGTCTCCAAAATTCCCACTACAACTGATTCTAGAAAGTTCAAACTATACCTGTAGTAGTAGTAGTCGTTGT